ACTTAGGCACTTGAATACAATGTCATAATGCATATACTAGAAGAAATGTATCAAAAATATGATAAAGTTTAATAACTCAAGTAAATTTTAGAACCACATCTGAATGAATTCCATTTTTATAGTAATGTAGCCTTTAAAGTAAAATGTTTATATTATTCTCAATGACATGAAGAATGTAAAGCCAGTACCTCATTCCAAACATTTTCCTAAAAATTAACTAGTTGATTACATAAATGTTATCTGAGAAGCGTTCTTGGCATGCTAGTTAGTGCTGTCCCAATACTAATTCTGTTGATCCCTCGGAAAAATGCTGGCAATGTGATTGTTTCCGATAGCATTCTCAGAATTGAACGTTCTTAAATAAGTAATCAGTGAAGATTCTAGAACTGCTTCAATAATTTTCCCTACATCAGATCTTTAGACAGTGTACTAAACAAATACCATTTGTTCTTATTACTCAACCTTTCATATTAATTCTATCCAAATTGATAGCCAGTATTTACATTACCGAAATATTAGCATGCCATGAAGTACAACACTTGTTTTCAACAAATCCAAAGTCACTTTCAAAGCTCCATCACAAAGAACCAGAAATCCATATTAAAGAAAGTTTAGTAATTATTACATATAAGGTAATTTTGTGCCTATACTGAAATAAAGTATCTAAGTGAGACATTGGTACTCTTCAACAAAGAGTATGTAATATGTAARATAAAGGGGGGAAATCCATGGAAATTGAAATCTTTAGCAAAATATCAAGATATTACACCACAGAAAAGCAACTGATAGCTAGACAAAAGACAGTGGGAAATATATTATTGACCAAAACAATTAATGCTTACTGGACAGGGGTCCGGGAACAGATAATGGTCCATCTTCAACCCTGATGCTGCTAATGAGCCTTTAAAAGTAATTACAATTCCTCTTCAGTTTTTCTATTAACATATTTGTCTACTATTTGGCAGAATACTTTTTAGGGGTATAATTAACTGGTCTGTATAAGGGAGGTCACTGAGATGTCTTACTGACTGACCAACACTAAGTTTTAACATTTGAGTAAACATTSAATCTTGAGAGTGTTAAATATTTAATAAGACCAATGAACAATAAATTAGGACAGTGATAGTGATTTCATAAGTCTGTATAAAACAGGGAAAATCATTCTAGCATCATCTCATGATTTACTCTCCCAAAGCATTTGATCACTTCTATTTGAAAATAAAATTCTCAGTTTGGCTTTAATATTTTAAGGATTTAAGAAAAAAGTAATTTCTAGAGGTAAAAGTTGCCAAGTTACCAAGTTAATGGTTTCTGAAATTTTCATTTTAGATTTTTGGAATGCATTTGAACAAATAATGAAACCAGTTACCAAGTTAATGTTTTCAGAACAAAACAAAACAGTCTTACAAGTATTTTTCAACCCATTTGGTGAAAATTAGACAACTTTATTTTGGGGAGGGGRTGGTAACAAGGATTGAACTCAGGGGCACTCAACCACTAAGCCACATCCCCAGCCCCATTTTGTATTTAGAGTCAAGGTCTCACTGAGTCACTTTTGCTGAGGCTGGCTTTGAACTCTTGRTCCTCCTGCCTTAGCCTCCCAAGCTGCTGGGATTTTAAGCATGCACCAGCACGCATCGGGCTTTAACATTTTTAATACAGTCATTTCCAATGGTAGCAACAGCTGCCCTTTATAACAAATTAGAGTATATGGATTCTCTAGAGTCCATGAAAAGTAACTTCAGCTTAATTGAGTTATTAGCTTTTTAAAATTAATGATCTGAACTTTGAACTTACTGTCTACTTCATATCCCATATACATGAGAACTCCCTTATTTGCAAAGAAGAGAGAATTCATCCAGTAGTCTAGGAAAGTTGTAATCATATCAAGTGACACRAACTAGTTAAACATATACTATATCCCAGAACCTCTTTTAATGATCATAAACTGCTTACGTACATTTTCCTTATATTCAATCCATGGGTGTTTTTTTTAATTCAAAAGTATACAATTTTTAAAGCCTATACCTGGTTTTAGAAATAACTTTTTGATACATAAATATRTCTGAATCTATTCAGGCCATAAAAAAGTAACACTGTGGTAGAGTACTTGCTTAGCATGCTCAAGGCCTTGGGTTTGATCCTCAGTAAGTATAATAAAATAAAACACCATGAAAAWGCAAGATTTATAATACATAAAATATTAGAATACAGACAAAATCTTTAAGTCACTCAAAGCTAACAAGTTCTAGTCCTTAATAACTTAGTAGATATAGTTAATAGGGTATAATTTTATTGCCTTAGTAACTAAAGAATGAGTCACATACAGCTCTCAGTTGAAGTTTAAAATCTGTAAAGTCAAAAAGAGAAGTGATTGTAAAATTTGCTGCTCTTTGTAGTGCAGTGGCATCACCTAAGTCTATGTATTCTGCCATGCAAACAGGACTTGAGGAAAAAACTTTTTCAACTAGTGTTAGCTGTAAAATAAACATCACACATGCTTTTGGAGCAGTCCATTTGTTTGCTCTTGATGCAACTTTTRAAATTTACTGCTTCAAATGGGATTTTATAAGTCTAAATTTTTCTGGCTTTTTTGTTTGTTTGTTTGGGTACTGGGGATTTACCCCAGAATGATTTTCATCCCCAACCCTTTTCATTTCTTAATTTGAGAAAGGGTTTAACTAAGTTGCTYAGTGCCTTGTTAAGGTGCTGAGGCTGGCCTCAAACTTGTGATCCTYCTACTTCACTTCCCGAGTTGCTGAGAATTACAGGTACACACAGCTATGTCTGGCTGAAAACTAAAGTTTTGATATTGCAGCCCACTCTGTGATAATAATAACCCATGATAAATTTAGTTCTAACTTAAATAATTAATAAACCCACTGGAATTTATATTATTTGCCACAGTTTATAAAATATGCAAATCAACTTTGCTATACAGGACAATTTATTTCAAACACAAAGAGATGAAGAACACACAGTTATATATTTTATCATTTTATTAGGAATAATTTCAAATGGGTTATGAAGAAAACTTATTGTGTTTGCTGAGTTTTCAAAAAAACTCTTAATGAAGACATGTTCATCAATAAACAAAACACCAGCAGAACTATCATATACTGGGCAAAGAGTCAGGCTGATACCAAAAGCAAC